ATGTTAGAAACCAACTTAAATCTGTGACCAGGGAGAGCTGGGACACAGAGGGTTTGAGATCCTGTGGAGGGAGGTTAACCCTGGCTGTGGTTTGTGTGCTCATAGCTGACCTGGTCAGCTTAGGCAGGTAAGAAACAGCCACCTCCCCAGTCCACCCCACTGACCCACTTCTGTTCTTTGGGTTCCCCTCCTGCTTCCTCGTGGGGTCAAACAGTGGAGTTTGAGCTGCGAAGGGAAATAAAGAGACTCCAGGAATACAGAGCAGCAGGAATCACCAATTTCTGCAGTAAGTACCTGATGCATTATTCAGCCCATTCCCATCCATCACGGAGGGGGAGGATGATTTTACAACATTCAGGATGTGTTGAATAAAAAGACACTTTTTTATGAAAGGCATTTGCCTGGCTCTGTGACTGAACAAGGCTTCAGGAATGATGCACAGCCCAGCTGGGCTGTTTTAAAGCTGGTTTGAGCCATCAGCTGGGAGATCCCACTGTCAGGCACAGCTCTGCTCTAGTCACCACTCTGCAAAAGATGCAGAGAAAAATATCTGTGCCATGGCACAGTGGTCTCAGGGCTCTTTCTCTGGACACTTTCACTGCCTGTCAGCACATGTGATATCTGGAGAGAAGCCTAAGACCTCCACTTAAATGAAATGGCCTGGAATTGGACCATGGAAGCCTTTTTTTGTTTGTTTTTGGCCTGAAATTAATGAGGGAAGGGGTGCAGGTTGGAATCTAATCCCTTCTGGTGCCAAGCAGTTGTCATGAGGGAGAACAGCAGAGCCTGGGCCAGAGCTACAGGGCTTCCCACTTCTTCCCTAAAGCAGGAAGCAGCAGTGTGAGCCCTGTGCCCGAGGCAGGTGCTGAGGAGGGGGGGGTGTTTGCCACAGGTGCCAGGACCTACGACCACCTGAAGAAGAGCCGGGACGAGGAGCGGCTGAAGCGCACGATGCTCTCGGAGGTGCTGCAGTACATCCAGGACAGCAGCGCCTGCCAGCAGTGGCTCAGCCGCCAGGCAGACATGTGAGCACTGCCACGGGGTCCCCAAGAACCTGCCCCATCCCTGGGAGTGTCCCAAGCCAGGCTGGACAGGGCTTGGAGCAACCTGGTCTGGTGGAAGGTGTCCCTGCCCGGGGCAGGGGGTGGGACGGGATGAGCTTCAAGGCCNGTGGAAGGTGTCCCTGCCCGGGGCAGGGGGTGGGACGGGATGAGCTTCAAGGCCCCTTCCAACCCAAACTATCCTGGGGTTCTATGTTTTAGTTAACATCAAACACATTTTCCTGTGTGATAATAACAAATTAATTCCCAATTTACTGCAGCAGGAACAAGCTGCAAAATTCAGGAGTGGGTCATTAGTTGAGTGCAGGCGAGGAAGGGACTAAGGGCTCAAAACCCTCAGTTTTCTCTGGTTTATATTTCAGGAACTGAACTGCTGTTCATAAAGTCATGGAGGGAGATGAGGTCTTTATGGATATTAATGAGGGCACAGATGACACTTGGAATATTTCAAATGATTTTAGATGTAGCAGCATTATTAATGTGTCGTCACCCTGCATGAGCACTTTGATTTAAGGAGCAAGCTGCAACGTTAAAGGAAGTGCATCCTGTGTGCAGGAGATGGTTTGGAATTTCCCCAGTCAGTCTCCACTGAATTTGTTATTGTGTCCTCCTCCACATTTATTTTTTGGTGTTTTTTTTTAACAAGTTTCAGACATGGTCTTCAGTGTAGGAGCACTAAATATTTAGAAGTCCTGTTGATTTCAGATCAGGACTTGGGCTATGCAAGTTGAATGGTATCATTATTAGAAGTTGGGGAAGAAGTACTTTCAAGGCCAATATATGCAGCCATTCTTAAAAAAAACATGAAGGCAATTTGAAATTTTCCTTTCTTTCCAGTGATTCCGGCCTGACTCCCACGGTACCAGTTCCTTCAACTACAGGTAGGTGTTAGATGATGTCTGATAAAAACCCATAATATCTTTCTGACAGCCTTTTTCTGACTCTCAAGTGCTAAAGTGTCAGTCTCAAGCCTCATGGTTAAGCACTGCTCAAGTCAACGTTACATCAATCTGCAGCTCATTCCACTTGCATATCCTGTAGGACTTTTCTCTGA